ACACAGCAAGTTGACTGCTTCAAATCCTGAATAATGACAGAAGTTGATTTATAAGCAGAACATTGTAGGATACATGGGAAAAACACAGCTCACAGGGCTGCACCAAGCACTAAACTCAGCTCAGGCGGGGAAACCATAGACTACTGTCCATACGTGAAAATTGTATTAGCAAAGCGCTATCGGAAGTAAAAATAACTTTGAAGCTAAACATTCCGCTATGCCTAAACCTCCATTTTAGATTGAAAGTCTCCTCTGCTTTATCTTTCGTGAAACTGACAGTAACACCTCTGGCCACTTCTCTAGTGTCTTGCATTGCACTTTCCATCAGAGCAATCTTACAACTTCCGCTGATGTAGACTGGGCAAAAGTGACCAGCTGAACGTACCCTATTGTTACCATGTCTGTATAGCCGGACAGATACCAATGGGTGTCAAGGGTCGTGCTGTCCACTTGTTGGAACAGGCAACATTAGACATCTTGTCTGAGTATGGCAATGCTTTTGAGCCCAGCTGATCCCTGTTCTGTTACTTTGGCTCTGAGCCACATAAAAGGAAGTGAGCCGATCCACTTCATCATTACCTGTATTTTGTATTGCTAGTGATACATGTGTCGTCATTGCCAACCCCGTGCAGCTGTGTCGCCTACTGTGTGGTAAACTATTCGGACTGAGCATCCACCCTAACATGTGTGTATACCTGTACACTTACCTACACTGTCCTACAGCAGCATCACAAGCGACATTGATTCATTGATATTTGTACAAATACCAAATATACAAATGACAAAGTTTCATGTGGGAAATAGCCAAAGTCCTGTTGTTACTTGGACATTACTGTTGTTAATGGTTTCCATTAACAATTTCTTTCCATAGGAAAATATATATTCTATACTTTAAATGCATACATTAGTTGTAAAATAAATTTAACATGGTGTAAGTGAAAGCAAGAGTAGTTGCTATCACACACCTTGCTGCACCTATCACACACCTTGCTGCATCGTTGATGGAGTTACATATAAATTTGCAGTCTTTAGTCAGACTTCTTAATTACGAGAATTGGCAACTTTTCCCCCTATACATCTTTAAATGTATAATTAAACTTGTTGCATTCCTTGAGGAAAATTTGTTTATTATAATTAAATATGTTTGAAAAATAAAATGATAATTTTTCAGGAGAATATATGGTTCCTGCGAGTAGAGAACTACCTTCATCATCAGCAGGAACATCTGCTCTATTTGGTGCCTCAACATCATCTCAGTCAACTGCAGCAGCAATTCACATGGAAACATCAGATAAAGATCTCAAAGAGGAGTCAGAGGGGGAGAAAGTGGAGACCAGTGAGATTAAGGGTGACCCTGAAGTTTCACCCATTTATGTTCGACACCTGCTCCCTGTGTTTACAAATGTTTTCCATGTGACTATGATCTCATCAATCAGGTAATTTGTGCTTGCATACTGTGTAATAAAAAAAAAACCAGCATATGCTATATTAAAATTTTTTTAAAAATCGCAATAATTGCAACATCTAACAAACATTTATTAGCGAATAAATTGTTAGCATAATTTATTAAATTATTAACTCTCGCTGATCCTTCCCCATGTGCTGAATACTTTCAAATAACCCCTCCAAATGCGTCAGCGGTGTGGGCGATATTTTGTACACCCAAACATATTCACCCTAGGGAAGTGGGTGGTTGGCCCGAGTGTTGACAGGCCAAACTCACTTTGGTGATGCTAAGAAACCTCACCTTTACCATTCCACTGCCCCACAAAAGTGACTGACAAATCCCCCTCACCCCTACCAGGGGGGTTAGTGAGAGAGAGAGAGAGAACTGGTCAAGAAGAATCCTAAAAAAAAAAAATAATACTGGTGATCCATTGCGGAGAGCGCTGAGAGCTAAAATGTAAAATTACCATTACAAAAAAAAAAAAAAAAAGAAGTCATGTATGGGTTGAACACAGGACCTTTTTATTGTAAGGCAGACGTGAAACCCATTTTCTAGAAATTCAAATGAAAAAGAACTAAAAACAGGACCAGTATTTTACATGTTGATATACAGACATATTCATGTCTGTTGTATAGTAGACAAGAAATATTAATTTTAATCACCATGTCAGTACGTGACCGTATCTTCTTTTTGATCATTGGGAATCCATTTCAATCCAGTCGATGTAGCTGGCTGGGTCAGATGGTCAGTCTTGCTCACGGCCAGAAGAACACATATCCGCCGGTGTGGCGTGAAGAAAACCCAACTCATAACTCACACATTTCAGTAATCCTTACTATTACTTCTTTAAAAAAAAACTCCATTAATTCTTCAACCACATTAATTAACCAGTTTCATGCGCAAAAACCAGAAATATATTTCAGGGCAAAAAATATTCAGTTCACCGTCCACACTTCTGTGGTAAACAGAGCAACAGGATCACGCAGAAAGCATCTAAATACACCTGAACTCACGTGATAAGGGTTTCTATTGTTTTAAATGGGTCAGTGTTATCAGATTTAGGTAATGTGTATTGCCATTTCACCCCAGAGAATTACCGTCCTCAGCAATCTGTAAGAAAATTTAAAAATGTATTATTACGTCCTTAGCTGTTAGGGTACAGAAAATGTGTTATTACGTCTTTAGCAGACGTATGCATTCATCATAGCAGCGAAATGGTTAACTCTATCAGTCCCGTGCTGTTGTTACTTCAACACTCCCCAACCATCCCGGCTCTTGTACTTTAGAGTAGCCATTTCTAAGTTACGACTACAGGACCACATTTAAATGCTAGTTTAGATAGAATAGGTGGATAGAATAGAAATCTCTGCATGAGGAAATTGAGAAAGGTTCCATCTATAAAAATATGGGATAGCGTACAGTGAGTTAAATAATACTGAAAGAATTAACAGAGTTTAATTAAGAACAGAGATTACAGCAGTGTCCCCATCTTCAGGAATCAGCACAGTTTTTTTTCTCCAGTTTGTTCATCTTGCCTTTCCAGGGAGTCTTGAGTGTCAGCCAGATCCTCTGGTCACATCACTGCACTATTCTCTTCAGATAGTGATGATCTGTTTGTGACTCTGTACTGTTCACTCTCACCCTTGACAGCATCTAGTTTGACCTGGATCAGTTTACAACCATGTTGTACAGAACCAGCCAGTCTTACTATCTGTCCCAGACATACATACATTCCCTGGAGAAAATATCAATCGGACACTAACTACATGAGACTCACCACTCTGCGTGGAGCATACCTGTTTCCATATTTCTCAGCATGCCTTTGTGTCATTTTTAATCACAGTTGTGGAAGAATAGACCCCCTGTCTCCTAACAGGCATGTTGTAAAATGTGACCAATTAATAATTTGTTGATATTTTGTTAGACTAAAAACACAGATTAAGAGCTGCATAGGCTAAGCATAGCTTCATTCCGTTACATGAAAATGGTTAGACACATGTCACCAGAACAAACATGTAATAGGCAAAGTCAGGAGGGTCTAAATAACAGAAGGACAACAACACAACACTTTCATTGACTGTAATAAAGAGAGCACTGAAGTATTTTTTAACCTGTTCTTCTATAAGGCTGTAACTTACAGTGATTGCTTGGGAAAGCTACTGAAAAGTGTAACATTTACAATTATAAGAGAAGAGTTTCTCTGTTCGTGTGATGAGAAGAGAGACATTAGCGAACATGGTGATGATTTGACAGATAAGTGAAAGAAGAGGCAGAGAAAAACTAACAGAAATAGGACATGTCATTAGTTGAACCAGAACACCAAGGACTGAGATCTGCAGAGAGACATGGACACTTTTGCTGTCTGGCGAGGCGCTTGATGATAAAAGTATATAGGTAGATAAATGCAAGTGAATTATGCTTTTTGTTCACATTCCTTGAACATTTTTATTTATACAAATTTCTCAGATTTGGAGATCTCCATTTTTGGAAAACAAAAATTAAGCGAAATTACAAATGTTAACATGCAGGCTTCATGATGTTTACTGAGATTTGTCATTTCTTACAGGAAAGCCAGCCTGTCTGTGATCAGGAAAATGCTACATTACATTGATAAAGATCTTCTTGCTGAGATGACAGGTCCTGAGTTTTCCTCACCAAATTTTGCATCATCCCTTACTGAGGTTTTGTCTATTGTTTTGGATGCAGAGGTACGTTCTTAATTATACCTTAAAAAATTACTTTGTCAAGGCATATTCAGGACTTTGTCTATGTTTGGGTAACACAAGATTGATTAAAGGGGAAGAATTGAAAAAATGATGAATACTTTGTTCATCAGTGGTTTTATCATTTTTTGACATTCAAAATCCTGTAATGTTGTTTAATTTGCTTGAATTACCTTGGTGCCTTGTGTTACGAACTTAATTTATTCTTTGACTCCGTTCATGAACTGAAATCTTCACAAGCCAGAACAATTTTCCCCAATAAAAGCAGTGCAGTTCAGGTAATCTGTTCACAAGCCCTAGAAACATTTTTTTGTGTGCACTTTTATATGGAATTATGTGGGACAAAAATATATACAGTATAAGTGTACCTTCATGGTTGATAGTTGCTGACAAGGTAGGTAGTAAAGGAGAAGGGGGAAGACTACGACTTCGAAGGAGAGTCCTGTTCCATAATAACATCAGGCAAAGTTATATTTATTTCTGGTGTTTTCCTCGTGTATATCCTAGGAAGTGGCTAACAATAATTGTTCAACTTTTTTCAACTTTTTTTGTGACCTTTGCTTCGTTAACATAGTCACTCCTTTAGTCATATCAGCTGAATTTAACGCAGGTTTCTTCTTTACGATAGTACAGGCTGCAGATTTTGCCATGTTGTACTGCTTGACAAGATCAGAAGCAAGAACAACATTGTCTTGTTTAATTATTATTTCCTGTTTTGTTGCTACTCTGATATACTTAGTTTTCTTTACACCACCACTGTCACTAAGACTTTTCATTTTCTTGGGAGCCCTTATGTAAGGTAAAGTTTAAAAAGGTAAAGATCCCATTTCACGCCTTTAGGCGCATTGGGCATATGGGAAGAGCGCTCATATTTTTACAGACCAGTCAGCACTAGGTGGGTAATGTGGTCAGCATTACGCCAGCCGTCTTTATTTCCCCGGGACATACATCCTGGTAACCATTTTAGGTTGGGTCAACCTGCGACGCCCCATACCATGATAAAACTCCACATTGCCAGTTGTGGGTTTCCATCCCGGTATGTTGGAATTATGAGTCGGACTAGCAACGCCAAAGCCACGGACACCACAAGCCATAATGAGGGTTAATTTAATGAAGAAAAAACCGGATCGAGAACAACACAATGACAAACAGTGTTTGCAGTGCGCAGGCCTGAATACACCTAGTGCTGCTGTTGGTTAGCTGAAAACATGGTGTTAAAGCCATGAAATGCGTTTGTGACTAGAGGTGTTTGTGACCTGAGGGACCACTGTAATAATAATTTTAAAAAATGGTGCTGGGGGTACTCACAGCAAAGTGTCTAACATAAGTGGCCTGTACACACCACACTTGCCACCTATTACAGTAACACAGACAACAAATATTCCTTAAAGAAAAAGATGCTGGCTCTGTACACTGCAAGAAAACAGCTGTGATTAAAATCATCATCATGATCATCCATTTGGGTTGTTTTTTGTCACATAGTCTTTATTCCATTCTGCTATGAGCAATCTTCTTGTTGGCCTCTCTCAGCAACATTCATCTTAAGGTTTTTTTGAATTAATGGAGCTCATTTTGTTGGGTTTGGAGCCAGTACTTTATATTCTCTTGTTTGTCGTGTAGTTATTTGCACATACACATGCACAAACACACATACAATTTATGTTTATAGTATGTAAGTTGTTTTATACATAGCATAATATATAATACTAAAGTTGTTTTATTTCAGGATGATGATGATGGTCACATGACTGTCCTGCAGATTATGCAAGATCTGATGTTAAAATGTCAGGAAGTGTTCCTAGAGCATTTTGCTAGACTGGGTTTGTTTTCCAGGGTGTTGAACCTGGCAGGACCACAAGCCACTGATGATGAAGGATCCAAATCGAAAGATGATAAGGTTAGAAAGCATGGCATTTTCTCTCTAAATATTGCTAGGGCAGTCTTCTTTGCATTCACCGGCTGTTAACTTCAGATGAAAGTTCTGGTTGTTCCACTTCTGAGCTTTAATCGTGTTCCAGAACTTGAGTTGTGTGTGTGCATCTGTTTTGGAGATCTGGCTGATTTGTATACAGACTGTTGGTATCTGCCTTTGGGCCGGTACACTACTCTGGCTTTGATGGAACCCCTAATTAATTGACATTTACTATGTGCACTCAACCCCTCTGTTCTGCAACCACCACCACCACCCCCATTTCCTGACACAATGCAACCCCACAACCCGCGTGGAAGCTAGGGTACTAATGGAGGAAAAACCATGGATAAGCAGAACAATGAAATATGCAAGTAGCAGTTCAAAACTGAATTTAGAGACATTATTTACAAGCAGACAAGATTATGTTATGAAAAGATATAAACTTGTAAATGTAGTGATAACTGACACTTTTGATGTGAAAAAAGCTATTAAAAAATAATGTAAATATTTGATAACCTGGACCACACAGTGTTTGCAGCTTGTGTGTTATGGTAATGCAATAATTCAAGTGTGGCTCAGCTGCTTTCTGTCTGTCATCATCAGCAGGCCCTTTACAGAACGTGGCTCTCAGCACATGGTTTAAGGTCTCTGTTTCTAGTTAGTTCTCCACCGCTGTGTGCTTTCATTGCCAGTGCATTACTATCTGTCTGTCTTTATGGCCCTCTAACTCTTCCACCAACAGACACACACACACACGCACTCGCACGCACGCACACACACACGCACACACACACAGAGACTTCTTTATCCTTTGAAGTACAAAAGTATTTAGACACACACAGCTTTTGATGAAACATGATTTATATTACTTTGTTCAGTGATGCAGAATTTTACCATAATTGTGAAATGGCTCGTGATTTACCCAAATGTGTTGCCACACACAAAAAGTAGGCATTTTCTCACAAATTATTTGTGTTTGCTATTTGTATTTCTTGATTGGTTTAAAAAAAATAGGAAGAAGAAGATGCTAACCTGTCAGATGCCACAGAAATTGTACCAGGACGACCATATCATTGGAGAGATTGGTACATTGTTCGTGGCCGGGACTGCTTGTATCTATGGAGTGAAGGAACTGCTCTGGAACTCAGCAATGGCAGCAATGGCTGGTTCAGGTTCATTCTGGATGGCAAACTGGCAACAATGTACTCCAGTGGAAGTCCAGAAGGTGGTTCGGATAGCTCAGGTACTCTCTATCTAAATAAATGTTGTGTAGTGTGATATACACTTTTGTTTTTTAAATGAGTATTCTTGGTGACAGTTGCTCTGTAAGGTCATGAAAAATGCAAAAGACAAACTATAATTTATGAATATTCTATAAAATGTGTTAGTTTATTTTTGTAGGAGAAAAATATCAGTACATATGTGAGTGGCCCAATGTTGTCATAAAAGTAATTCAAATCATTTGAATACTTTACTTTTGTGAAGTAATTCGGACAGTTATCTACAATAAGGAGCAGCTGGCTGAATGGTTAGAAAGCTGGACTCTTAAGTGGGAGACTCAGGTTAAAATCCTAGGTAAGGCTGTAGATTTTTTTATAAATTGGTGGCCCCAAAAAAATCTCCACCTTCACAGTGGTGACGACAGCACTAGCCATGCGTCTGAAAATCCCCAGGCTAAAAAACCCCCTACATCGCAGAAGTGGTAAAATAAAGGCAGTTAATGGCAGTTGTATCTACAATGCAGGGCGTTATGTAATTGACATTTGCGTCAGTATCTAGTTTATCAAGGAAACAAGTGTTCTACAGTAAGAATTTTTGTAAATACCTTATTACTTTGTGTGGGATAATACTGTAGAAGTACATTATTTAAATGCATTCTTTAATCATGAGAAACATCATCAATTCTAAACTGACACCTTATCAAATCAATCTGCTATCATTTTCCCAACCATAACATTTTTGATGCATTTTATTATTTCTTGTTTGCTCAGAAAATAGAGGTGAGTTTTTAGATAAGCTACAAAGAGCTCGTAGCCAGATTAAAACAGGAACTCCTAGCCAACCTATTCTGACAAAGTCAGGTCCTACAAGACTTGTTGTTGGTAATTGGACACTCATGTGTAAAAAGGACGGAGAACTGCAGATTCAGAATACAGATGGTCAGCAGGTTAGTTTTTGTGATATCTTTTCTTCTTCTACTAATTATCATTTAGTGGTTGTAGACTCGGATAGAAAGTCCTGGTTGTTCATTAGACTCCATGGTGAAAATATTATATATGGATAACATACTCAGATTGTAGCAAGTGGTGTTGTGTATTATTACTGTCAGTAGAAATAAACACATCATGTTTTTGAGAAATTGTTACTTCCTTAGAATGAAAAAGAAAGTTGGGTAAAACAACAATAAAACCAACAGCGTTGTGTGGGAGGTAACTTCAGAAAAATGGCTAGCATTGATGCAAAAAGAAAGCTGCTATGTCTTGACCATGAGTTTTGGGCAGTCAGTCAGGGTTCCAGCTTCATTGCAAATGGGTCACCTATAATTGCTCTGTTCCTGCACTAGTGAAACAACACAAAATGCCCTCCGCTGTCTCTGGTAATAGTCAGACTCAGCAGTCTGTGTAAAATCTAACAGCTCGCTCATGCATCAGACGCATAAGGCAGCCACCAGAGGTGCCAAGACTTACGTATGGTCACTACTAGATCATGACTTGAGCCTGAAGGTCCATCTAAAAAGATCTATAAAACTATAATCTAAGTGTGCTTGCAAAAGTTGTTCTGGCCTTAATTCTACCGCTGATTTATTAATTGGTTCCTCTGAGCTTGCTCTTAAACAAAAGTATGCAAACATATTTGCTAATGTGTGCATTGATGCAAATAATTTTACACCACATTTATATGTCAGAGATTGATATTTGGATTTTTCTCTCAGAAATCACATTGCCATTTTTATTAGATGTTTTTTCACCTTGTCTGCTTGTTGTTATTTCTCCTGTCTCAGGCTGGACGTGTGGCAAATAAAACTCTATTTGCCTGAAATAACTGCAGTAAACTGTTGTTTGACATGCATATTTGTAAATATTCAGGCTACCATTCTACGGGAGGATCTGATGGGTTTTGTGTTTGAATCCAACCGAGGCACCAAGCATTCATTTACCGCAGAGACAACACTGGGACAGGAATTTGCTGTAGGCTGGGGAGGCAAAAAGAGCAGGAAACTCAAATCTAAAAATGCTATCCGTGATAAGGTCAGTTGAATGAAAAAGCATCACTAAGAATGGCTTTATTAAGTGTGCCTGTCATTCTCATGTTTGGTTTTTCTCCATTAAAACCTTTCCCATGCAGCACAAAACCATTCTGTGAATGCTAATTTTTGAAGTACCTGATTGGTCTCTGGTATGTTTAATGATCTTTGAAACCAAACCAAAGGTATCACTTACTATCTTCCTTGTGACACTGAACTCATGTTGCAGTCGTAGTCAAGGTTTTGGTATCACTGGAATCAGGTCACCCATACTTGCACCATTCTATTCTAGTGAAAATCAAATGAAATTCCCCCACTGTCTCTTTGAAAACCTGGTGAACAGACAATTAGTTCTGGCACAGTCCAGAAATATTTGCACGCAGTAAATGCATAAGGCAGTTGCTAGAGGCACTAAAGCAAAAAGTCACCAGTTTGACGTTCATGTAAGTTGTCTGTCAGTATTGTTTGCCCATACACGTGCAGAATTATTGCATAAGGTATTTCGCCAGCCTACACATAAACTGGCTACCTGCCATACTGAATACCACGAGACAACACTGCACACATTAAAGATATTCCACATGTAAAACACACCTCACAATGCTGCACTATGCATTTAACTCAGTAGTTTAGCCACGAATCTGTAGACCACCGTCCATGTGTGGAAACTGTATGAGCAGAGTGCTATCAGAAGCAAAAATTACTTTGAAGCTAAACATGCTGACATACTTATCCTCCATATTGGGCTGAAAGCCTGTCCAACAACCTCAAACATGCTACAACTCATGTTCTTATTTGGAACTAAAAAAGCATCACATATTTTCAATTGTGGTGCAGTGAAAAAATAATGCGAGACATAAACATTACTACAAAGTTTTAATGGCAGGTTGGTATTTCTTCACATCTTATATATATATATATATATATATATATATATATATATATATATATATATATATATATATATATATATATATATATATATATATATATATATATATATATATATATATATATGTCTTTGTGTTTATGTACGCACACACACACACACGCACACACACACATACACAGAGTTAAGAATAGTTGTTTTAGTGCTGTTTTCTGAAACAAGTAAAATTAAGATTTTTAAACATTTTTTAACACTGTAAAAATAACTGGATTGGTTCATGTAGAAGCTGTAAATTAAAATCTCAGATGACTCTGGTATTCAAACAATATTTGTGTTGAAAAAAAAAAGAAACCTTAAATAGCTGTCTGTGATTGAGTGAGACTGTGGGAACTAAATGGGGAGGATAACTTTATAGCAAGGTGTAAATATTAAAATATATATATATATAATTGTTATTCTAGTAAGCAAGAAAATATTTATGACAAAATAAAAAAATGGATTATTGAAAAGTAAAACTCCAAATTATCAAACAACATGAAAGAGCACATAAACAGGTCTAAGATAATTCTTACGTGTTAAGTGCAGCTGAAGTGAATCCTCTGAAGTGTAACTTTTCCCTAATATTTTTCCAGTTTTAGGAACAGTTTTGATCTGAGAATCATTTTGTTGTTTCAGGTCAGGAGTACTGCCAGAGAACTTTATGAAGAATATTTCAGAGCAGCTGAAGCCAAACCTCGAGGTGTTGTTTCAAAGCTGTACTCCATAGTACAACAGCTGGAGTCAGCATTTGCTCGTCAGCTCAGTCAGATCAAGGTATTCATATCTTTTTTGATTGTGATCTGTATTGCTAAGAGAAGCAGTCAGAGAAACCCCAACAACACAATTACAGGAATTTATAATGTTCTAGTAGAAACCAACAAAGCCGGCCAGGGAATGGGTATCAAATGGTTACCTTTAACCAGGCAGGCATGGCTTGAGAGGAAGGCACCAGCAGACTGGCAGAAATCTTTAATTGTGCCGGTACGGGAAGTAAAGGCAGCAAGAAAGAATGGGGTCAACACAGAAGCATATCTCTTCCTGGCCACGTAGGAAATGTTTATGCAAGAATTTTGGAACAAAGAGTGAGATAAAAAGTGGAACTCTTCCTAAATAATGCGCAGTTTTGCTTTAGAAAAGGAAGGGGGTGCACTGATGTTATTTTTACACTGAGACAGATGAGTGAGAAAACCATAGACAGTAAGTACCAACTATGTGTTGCTTTTATTGATCAATAAAAAGCCTTTGACTGGGTAAGCAGAGACAAGGTTTGGTCAGAGCTAGAAGTGAATGGTGTAAATGGACTCTTGTTAGACAACATCGCAGCTTTTCTATTACACAACCTTATGTGCGGTAAGAACAACCTTAGGCATGATTAACTGGTTCTAAGTTTCATCTGGGGTATGACAGGATAGTATACTGTCACCACTCTTGTTTATTGTCCACATACACACACATATAGATATATGTGTATGTGTGTGTCTCCACTGAAGAAGTAAACAATAGCAGCTTCAGTACCGGTGAATGATTTCATAGAGCATCAAAGAATCAAATGGTTTGGTCATCTGGTCATAGTTAAACAAAATCAGCCAGCAATTATAGCGGACTACCTGAAAGCAGCAGGCTACAAGGCAACAGACCCACCAAGGAAGAGATGGGTGGATGGAAGTAAAAGAGACGCTACAGAATCGCAATATGACATAAATACAATCTGTGCAAATCACATAACTCGTCTCTGTGACGCTGTGTTGCATAAGCTGTAGGACAAAAGAAGAAGAGAAGTTAAGAACAGTGTGGGTTACAGAAAACAAATACAGTGGAACCTCGCTTAACGAGCATAATTCGTTTCAGAATCCTACTCGTTAAGCGAAACTCGTTAAGCGAAACAATTTTTCTCATATAAATTAATGTAAAATACGATAATGCGTTCCATGTCAAAAAAAAAATACTCACAAAATTCTATGTATAACGTTTATTCAAAGAAAATTATATACATATATTGTTAAGGAGAGTGAATCATCTTCACCTTTTCTTCAAACGCGAAACGAACCCACCTGGAATGCGAATTCGATTTGCAGAAAAAAAAAATCGAAATAATTATGAAACAAAGCTAATTATTTTTTTACTTGAAAGATGTCCAGAGACATTTGTTTTTGCTGATGTTTCAAAATTTGGCGAAAATGCGACACAGCATTATCATTAAAAAAAATTTGCAGCGCCCATAGGCACTTCCTTATTAGGGTGATGCTTCTCAATGTAAGATGCAACAGTTTCCCATGTTTTCAGAATTTCTTTTATTTCGCCAGAAGATTGTTGCTTTTCTGTTACCATATCCTCCTCCTCCTCTGACAAACTTTCCTCCCAAATTTCTTGCTGTGCAACACAAAGCAACTCCAAAAACTCTTCGCTGGTCAGCTCTTTGCTGTGCTCTTTCACAAGCTCTTCCACTGTTATCCACCTACAATCCCATGATAATGGCCAAAGACACAATCTCCTTAACTACAGGTTCCACATGTACTGTCTCGAACCCCTTAAAGTCACAAATCGACAACGCTCTTCGGTCAAAGCTTCTTCCAAGCAGAAGTTAGGGTTAACTGGGTAACCCCTTCACCCGCCTTGTCGATCATCTTGAGGCAGGCAACAATGTGGAAGTGATTTTTCCAAAACTCGTTGAGTGTGAGGTTGGTCCCTTCAGTCATCTGAATACAATGCTCGAAGCGTCTCGCCACTCGCTATGCGAAACGTCGCTCGTTAAGCAAGTCATTCTTTTACAATTTGTTTTGCTCGTTATGCGAATTACTCGTTATGAGAGGTGCTCGTTAAGCGAGGTTCTACTGTATCTAGTTATTGGTAATACTTTTAACAAGTTTGCTCCTGTTTTATCTCAGTAATTATTTAATTTCTGACAGTAGAGTTTTTACGTTGTGTTATATTTTGTTTGTTTGGCTATATCATGTTAAAATGGAACAATTTCTATAACAGCCACCCAGTGAAGGTATCTCTTGGTGCCAGGAGATGTGTAGTGCTTTGGAGGAGCTTGTGATTCTGCTCAAGGATGAACATACAATATCATCATTTGAACTCTACAATAGTGGTTTGGTGCAAACTCTCCTTGGTATTCTTAGTAGTGTAAGTGAGAATTTCATGTTTTAATGTAAACGTTTAGTTATCGTGTAACTGTCGTAGTGTCATCTTAGATTTTCTGAATATTCATAGGTAAGCACCAGTGTTCATAACAGTTGTCTGTCATGGGTAAACAAGTTGAAGGTATGAATCACCTGTTCTAGACCACAATGCAATGCCTCATCATATTTCTTTTCAGAGAGTTTCCATCCTGGATTTGTTCCAGTTTTTCGCACTGTGAAACGGATTGTGTTTGCCTATCCAACACATTAGCAAAAGACATAGTGGTGGAACAGGAAGCATTTTCTGGCCATTATATATATATATATATATATATATATATATATATATATATATATATATATATATATATATATATATATATATATATATATATATATATATATATATATATATATATATATATATAAAATATATATATATATATAATGATCAGATCAGGTAATCATAGTTCCAGCTTCATAGCATAGTTGCTCCATTCCTGTGCCAAAGAAAAGAATATCCATCATTGTCTCTTGTGAAAAAATTGTCTATGATCAAATATCAAAAACTCATTATTTTAATTAAATAATATCTTTTAGTTATCTGCTTATTTATAAATTTACTGGGCTACAGTATAGATCTCCTTTCAGATACTGCCAGGAGCAATTAATCCTTTCTATCCTTATTTCTAAATTTTAAAAAAATGATTAAATGAAAAGTTCAAAAAAATTTTAAAATGACAACCACCAAAGAACAAAATGTCATCATTTGTTCCCTTAGCTCCATAATATACATAGAGTGACCAGGGGAACTGGTCTACAATTAACACTCAATCAGAATGTCACTGGTAACATCGGAATTGGAACTCTGCTCTTGCTGCTGAAGATGGGGCCAGAACTCTTAAGGGAATGTCCTGAGTGCTGGGATGACAATTCCTTATTCAACACAGACATAATATGAAGTGGTGACTGTTGAAAAGAAGTCAGAAAGATACTGCGGTAGTTCAGATGTTGCACAGTATGAATGAAGAAAATGTGTTACCAAACCAGCAGATGAATACAAGTAAACATGGTTGTGCAACATTTGGATGAGAATTATGGGCCATTTCGCCAACATGGAAGTGGAAAAGGAATGCTTGTAAATGTAACTGTCACAGAGCATTTTAAGAAAACTATGAAAAGTGTGTGTTTGTGTATATAAATATCTATACACAAACACAGCCACATATATGTATGTGTGTATTGTAACACTTTGATATTACTAAGAGTATAATTCTGTGCTTTTATACCATGATAGATTCTACTGCTTTCCTATAAAGCTTTGTTTGTATATTTATCTAACTTTATGAATATTACATACAGTCCACAGATGAGTGCTCTTCCAAGGTATCCAAGAAGCAAATGAGGAGTCGTATCAATATTTTCAAAACGGTTTTCCATGATCATGAACGAGAAAAGTGAGTATTGTTGGATAAATATAGTTCACTATTATGTTACCTTATTGTGACTTTGTTGTATCTAAAGAAGGAAAAATATATTTAAAAAATAATCATAGAATCATAAAGGTTGTCTCCCCCCCCCCCACAGAATTAAATTCAAGGCAAATATACATGATACAAGATCACAACTAGGTCTAACAAATCAATAAGGGAATGATAATGAGAATAGACCAGGCAAATAATCTGGTTTCTCTTAAGGGTATCCCACTACAAGAAGTGGTGCAGTACACCTGTCTTGGTAGCAATCAATGTAGATAAAGATGGGGGAACTGATAGAGATTTTAAAATAAAATATGTGAGGCATGAGGAGCTTTCACTTGGAAATTTGTGGATGTTAGAAAAAGATTAAAGCTGATGCTAAACTTACAATTCTTAATTCTAATGTCAAATCAGTACTCTCTGTGTGGAGCGGAAACATAGAGAACAACTAAATAGTTACCGATGAACTACAAACATTCATTAACTGGTCCTGCATAGAAAAGAGGGAACTGAATGGGATGATAGAATCATTTATATTGAGCTTTGGGAGAGAACTAAACAAGCTCCAGTGCCCAAGAGATGAAGAAAAGGTGCTGGCGTTGTATAGGAAACACTTTAGAAAAACCTGAGAACAATATAACTAGAATGTCTTTGTACTGGAACACACAGAGGCATAGAAATAAACTCAGACCAAAAATTACATGAAGAAGGGAGCTAGAGAGTGAAGTTAAGAACATGGGGAGAACATGGGGAGAGCTATATGCAATAGCGAAAGATAGAACGACTTGGCGGGAGTTGGGTGAGGGCCTGTGTTCCATTAGGGGATATAAGGCAGAAGAAGAAGAATGAGGTTACCTGATGCCATTAGAAAGTTTAGCTGTAAAACTGAAGCCGGTGGCATGGCTTGGTGGAGGGCCTGTGCTCTATAGCTCACAAGTAGAAGTAGTTCTAGAAGAATTATACCGAAATGTGGAAAATGTGAATAAATAGTTTTTAAGAGCAATTTTCTGGAAATTTGCACAGATGTGGTTTAATTTATGAATGATGAGGACACCCTGGGTAGATTGAAAACAAAATTGTATTGATGTCTTGAAAGAAATTAACCCCTGAAGAGAATGGATTACTGACATCAAGAGACAGTGTATATTTAGTGGTCACATCATAAGAAAGGGACAGCCAGAGTGTGTCATGACAGTGTGAAAGTTTGAGGTGAAGAGAGGCAGAGGGGGACCAAGAGAGAACTTAAAATGCTGGATAGTTTGGCATCATAGCACACAGGAACATCTGTGTGAGCAATGGTTGAAAGTAGAATCAGAAGAGGTGGACAGACATGACTACCAGTTCCACACGGCATGGAATATAAGAAAAACTGAGAAATGACAAGCAAATCTAATTAAAGTGAGTTAAAATACAAAGAAATGGATGTGTAGTTAAGAGCAGTTTATGACCTTGCACAAGTTATCCTTTTGCATTTAATAATTAAATGTCTGAGGGGTAGATTCACACATGTTTCTTTCTCTGTTTGATTAGCCTCACAGAGGATGGGTAAGTCAATATTTTCAACTTCATGATTCAGATTTTAGTGTCTGTGGTGTAGTCTTTTTCCTACTTACATGAACAGAAGAAGAGATGGTGTATGCAGAGAAATTAGCCTAGTTGTGGGCAAATACTAGTCTAGAAAGATGGAGAAAGACAGAAAAATATGTGGAAAAAGTTTATTATTTTCTTTACTCGTGGACATAAGTAATAACAAAAGAAACATCAGCATATCCAAGTATCGAGTAACAGAGAGGATTGGAGAGTCATCATGCATGTCTGCTCCAGATCAAGCACCCGAAGAAGAACGAGTGGATGAAGAGGAAAAAAAGAAAGAGAAAAAGAAGAAAAGAAGGAAGAGGAAAAGAAGACATAAAAAAAAATGCAGTTCTGTTGCAAAGACATATTCACAAATATTTGTGTACATACACATAACTCACTGACCAACTTTTGCAAGCAAAAATAGCAAGCTACACATTTACTGATTCACAGTAAGTCATTAAGACCTGCAATGGAGATAGTTATAAAGGTTAGTTTTCAATGAACTGTGAATTTCTGATCTGAGTATTTCCTTTCCGACCATATTTTATACAAAGTAGAAGATCTGAGATCTTAGTGTCAGAATAATGTTATTTATTGTGTGATAACATGAAACCTGCCCATGGTCAAGTCTTAGCCCTGTTAAAAGAACAGATCATTGAATAAATAAGCATGTTTCATTACATGATCAGTTTTGCTGCAGTTTTTTGATAACATGGCTAGTTTATAATTATTCATAGTCAAGCAATTCAATTTCTTACAAATGAAGAATGTTGACTAGTCGATGTTAATGCCGTGCTGGCACTCTATAGTGACATGTTTTGTGTTGTGGGCTGCAAGGAAGACATGAGTTAACAAAAGATCTTCCATGGCTGGATCAGGCATACATTGTTGCAAATGAGACAAAATTAATGGAGCATTAAGGGTGGATCACCTTGTATCTCACATTAGCTGACACAGGAAATTCATGTCATTTGAGACAGTTCAAATGGTGGTATCAGAATTATGGTGTGTTCACAATTGCTGTCACAGATGTTGATAAACTATCATATAAGGAAGAATGTATGAGCCTCTTGTGTTGCAGAACAGAGGGTAACACATTTCTGTTGTGATAAGTGGTAAGTGATGAATTATTATGCTGCCAATTTGAGCCAGACAGCAAAACATTGATTATACAATGAAGCCACTCTGATCTTCAAAACACAGTATTCAAATGAAGGTTTCAGCTGGTACGGTTTTGCTGACCATATTTTAAAATAATTGTGAAAGGATTTTGTAGACAGACTTCAAAGAGCCAGTTGTAAATATCAGTGCCATTTAGGTGCACTGCACATACTGTATAAAACCGTGCAGAATAAGTGAATTGGTATGTTTCCACATGCTGTAATTTTGTTGCATGACTGTGCTTGTTCACATGTCATGACATGTGGGAAGTGTTACCTGAAAGAGATGGGAAGATCTGACACATCCAGCTCACAGTCTCGATCTGTCACCATAAGACTGTCATTTATTAGACCCTTAAGATACTCTAAAGGGATGATTTCACACCTGCACAGACTTCATGATAGTGGGAACTAAAGGCTCCAGCGAGCAACCATAGTTCCATGCGGACAGTATCTTCTGTCTCCCCAAGCAGTAAAATACATATTTGAATACCTCTTCTGATGATTCTGACATAGTTACTTCTCAACCTTGCTTTGTTTCATCCTACTACACCTGCTTATATACCTTTCATATGATTGTAGTAATCACGGGAAAGATTTCATTCGATCACACATCATACTAAATTTAATTTGCTGTGTTGAATCTTGGTAATATGGCTGTTTTTAACTTCAGCACATAAGTGTTGTTTTATATGAAAAGAATATTTCCGCAGTGATAAGTAGCACTGATTGTGATATGATATACTATGTTTGTGTTTTTATTGTAAAACCAGTTATACTTTGTATATTTAAGTAGTTAGCAACTCACACATTTGGGTTGCTACTTTTGTAAAGTAAACTATATAAAGGTCACAAAGTTTGGATTTTCATTTTCTGAAAGGAACTGTTTCAACTTTGAAATGTATAATTAAACAAAAATAGTGGACTTTAGAGCTAAATATTAAAATTATCAGTTGAAATGGAATGAAATTTGTAAACATAATTTATTTGTAACAGCGGGGTGACCTCGGCTGTCCAATTGACCAGAAAACTGATCTCAGCCCTTGAAGCAATTGAGAAGTTGCCCGTGTATTCCTATGACCTACCTGGATCTGGTTATGGACTGCAGGTAGTACACCCCTGAGCTCAGCAGGCTCACTTGAGTTATCTTTATCTGTATGAAACAATTCATCAGTTTGTTATAGTTGTTCATTGTACATCTGAAAAAATCCTGTTATCTGTTATACAGACTAAATTTTGTTACATATTAAATATGAAATTGTGGTGTTTTATCAACATATAAAATGGTGTGCAATTCAATTCAGTGCAACTAAAAAGAAAGAAAGAGATATATACCACTCTCATTTATCACATTGTACAGCCAAGATGTGTCAATAGTATGGTACAGATCATAGCATTCTTCAATACAAAGTGGCACCTGAAATTCACTACACCAATAACTTGTCATGGTCACTTTGCAGTCCTTTTTATTTCTGGATTCTTACATTTATCTCCCCCCCCCCCCCCCACACACACACGCACATATGTACATACGTACGTGCACTTTCTTCTGTAAATTGGGGTTCTCCAGGAAAGCCTTTCACATCACAATGCAGTCATTAACCAGTGGGTGGTGTGGCAAATCTTCTTAGGACTCATCAGATGATGACGATGATTCTGCATCAAAAGCGATGATTCTGCATCAAAAGCGGCAGTGATATCTTCATCACGTGCAGCACATACACAATATCTTCAAAATCTTCAGGCTCTGAATAAATATTTTTACTTGAACTGTCAGTATCGGAAACTGCTGCACTAGTGTTTGCTTCGGAAGGTGTAACTGCAGGTCGAGTCTTAGTTAGACTTGACTTTGAAGCGACATGCTGATGTTTCACTGTCGATGATATTTTTCATGGCACTTAGATTTATCAGAGCCAGAGTCATCAAACTGTTCAGTATTATCTTCACCTTTATTTTCCAAAGAAAATTAAATCAAGAAAAGCTGTGCAGCAACAGAAAAATGATAAAAATGACCACCGATCGCTTTGAGAATTTGTTGCCATGACGACAATTTTTGTAAATTGTCACTGACATGGGTGTTAATGCTAAAAATTCATCACATATTTAGTATAAACACTACAAAGTTGTTTCCTTAGTTAAAATAAGACAAATGAACTGGCTATAGGTGTCAATTAAATTCATTGCAAAAATCATGATTTTAACATGACAGCAAGTGTCCTAAGTGTGCGATGTTAACAGCAAGAAGTAAACCTGGCCTCGTCACATAACGTGACGTAGGCACTCAGTGGCTTAAGTTGACAAGTGCCACTAATGTGAGTCTAAAATGGGAAAAAACTAAAGATCTCTCTAGTCTCCTAATATTTGCACAATTTGATTTGAAGTTTTCTCTCTGATCAGCTATTACATTTCCACAACTAGAAGGCAGTGTGGATTGTCAGTTTTTTCTTCTTCTTTCTAATGCAATAAAATGATAATCTATGACATTTTTATATAGAAAGAGTTGCTTTAAACAATACACTACATTAAACTCTTCAAGAACATAGCCCAATATAATAATTCAAATTTTTCCCCCCAGATTCTAACAAGAAGGTTACGCCTTAGACTAGAGAAAGCTCCTGGAGAGAACACGCTGATTGATCGCACAGATCGTTGCTTGAAAGTGGAACCACTGACCACAGTTGCTGACTTGGAGCGTTATTTACTGAAAATGGTATTCATAATTCTTGTAAAAGATTCCTTCACATGAATCTCATATGTGAATTAATATAGCAACAATGTTAATTCTGCTAATTCTTTTGTCAGCAATAATCTTTTTCCTTGTGTTGACGAATTGTTTTCCTTTGTAACATTTTCTGTCACTTGTTAATTGTTTTCTGTCTGGGAAAATAATGAAGTGTTCCAGCAGAATAATTTCAAGAGCAGCAGCATACAGACTATACAGTGGTTGTAAATATGAAGCAGTATGATTAAACACAGCAGTGAATGTTGTGTAACCTAGGATTGAATCTATTTACTGATCTTTTTTCTGTGTAAGACGTGAAATGTGTGACCACAAAAAAAAAAAAATTTGAGTTTGTATAAGATGAGAATGTACTATATCGATGGCTTAATTAATTACTTTATTCACAGGTGGCAAAACAGTGGTATGACTTTGATCGGCAGACATTTAATTTCGTAAAGAAGCTGAAAGAACCTGACTCTGCAATTACATTTATACATCAGAGTGACTTTGATGAAAATGGTTTGCTGTACTGGATCGGAACAAATGGAAAGTAAGTCATATAGTCATCAATGAGTAAAGGTAAATTCATTTCAATGAAATAGATTTTACACACACCACACACACCACACCACACACACACCACACTCACACCCCCCACACTCACACCCCCCACACACACACCACACACACACACACCACACATAACACTTAAAACATTTCATTCTAATTAATAAATCTGTACATGTATGTATATATGTATGTATGTAAGTGCTCCGTTCTTCTTCTAACTCAAGTCTAAGTCTAAAGAAGCTCATTACAGTGCACAGGCTCTGTAGCACTGGCGAGGATCCTGAAATACTTTGGGTAGATTTTTAACTCCAAATCTTGCCCGGGCAGTGCCGTTAAGCTACTCTTTTTGATTTCCAACTTCCAAGGGATTTTTTAAGTGTGCAAAAATGCACACGGACATCCGATCTCACTACCCAGAGACCAGAGGGAATTACTAGAAGTCCAAGTCCACGTGAAAAAATTCCAGCTCTTACCGGTCTTTGTGATATGGATGGAAGAGGGGGATGAGGGAGGACTTCATCACTGGTCTTGTATTCCTATTGGTTATTGTAAAATATCACACTATAATCTGGCAATATGAAAAGGTACCAACATATTTTCATCGCTAATCTCTCCTGAAACTCTGTTATAATCTTTCCATAAAATGCAGTCAATTATTCTGTCTATCCTTATCTCCAGAGCATTAGTCAGGCTTTCTGATTGCATGTTTATTGTTCAGGTTTATGCACCATTTAGTGGGGTTGAAAGGATAACATTTTTTGTTACTGTACTGTTGATCTCTTTGTATATTATTTTCTCATGTTGTTGGACTTTTGTTTGGCCATTCTTATTCCTTTTTTTGGTTTATGTTTTACTTCTGACATTATGATGAAGGTAGCAAAAACTTGTTACTCTGTACTCAATTGTTAACAAAGGAGTTATTAACCTATGCCTATCTTTTATGAGACATTGCTAACAAGCCCTAGCATTTGTTGACTGTTTCTGGTTTTACTAGGCAGTTTAATGTTAGTAGTTTGCCATTACTTTCTGAACATTTATCTCTTAATAAATAGTATTTTAAGAATAACAAAAAATGGTCTGCTGCCAAATCACCTGCAGCTGATTTGAACTAGGTATTTCAGAATTACAAACCATCTACTTAACTCCTTAGCCACAGATGCTTACCAAAATTGTTACCTCTTTTGTGGGATCCGGGGCCCCATTGTGGGGGGAAAACAATAATAGACCCACTGCCTACCAAAAAGGATGTCGTAAGAGTCGACTAATTGGTAGCTTCCTTTGAAGTCGGAGTGCATCTGCCTGAGAGGCAAGGAACCAACAGTCTGCATTCAAGTGAATCAGATCTGTAAAACTGATGCATACGCAACACCCAGGTTCTGGAGCAGGACTGCAGTCCAGGTGTGGACGAACAACCAGAACTTTCCGCCAGAGTGTACAGCTGGTGAACGCGAAAAAGAAGAAGATTAAAAACAAATGTCTTTCTCTCTCTCTGTCTGTCTCTGTCCCTCTTGAGGCTGGATAGAATGATGCATCTGGGTGTGACCTGAGGGTTCGGCCTGCACACTACACTCAGAGGAAAGACAAGACGTACATACAACTAGACTATGATTGGCACCATTAGCATGGGGACGAAGCCCCTATGGGATTGCCCTGAGTGCTGTGATGTCATTTCTTGACTCAACTCTTTCTCTCTCTCTCTTTCTCTCTAGGACGTCAAGTGAATGGGTAAATCCAGGCCAGTATGGCCTAGTTGTGGTGACTTCCTCTGAGGGACGCAGCCTACCTTATGGCAAGTTGGAAGACATCTTGAGTAGAGACAGTGCTGCCCTAAACTGTCATACTAATGATGATAAGTAAGTCAGCTATTTATCTGCTTTCATTTATTGTGGTGTCATTGTTACATAGATGCTTGCCTGTGGATAAGAGGGTCGTGTGTTCAGGTCCTGACGGAGCCAGCCTTAAAAAAAAAATGACCTTGGCTTCCAGGTTGACCAAGCCTCAAATGGATACTGGGTAAAGTCCTGGGAAGTAATGATTGGCTGGTGTGATGTTGACCACATCACCCACCGAGTGCCAATTGGTCTATAAAATATAGGTCTAGCCCTATTTACCCAGAATGCCTGAAGGCGGGGAGAAGGGTCCTTTTCTTGTACACTGTCACAAATAATATGAAGTTATCATTTCCAGAAATACTAATATATTGGGTCCTTCATTCAGGCTTGATAGATACATTTGCTGCCATTGTATTGAAGGTCAGCTATAATGACCCTTCATCTCCTGATTCTTCCTGTACAATCTAACATTTCTTCCAGTCCATCTCTTGTTATCTAAAGAAGATAAACTGATCTTCCTTTCTACACTACCTCCAAACATATCCATGACATTTTCTCTTGTTCTTAAAGTAGCATAATTATCTGAGATTGTAACATTTCTGCCATTTTGTATGCAGTTTACATTTTTCTCTTGTATTATTAATCAGCTATATATTTGCCACTTCTTTAAAATATTACTTTAAAAAAAATGTATATTACCAGTCAGACAGTTTTTGAAAACTATAAATTTTGAAAACTTATTAATTGCTAGCTACTGAAAATGGAAATTTATAATGTAAATTATACTCATTATTTGTGTGACTGTGCTGATTTTTTTCTTGCCAATGTTTCTAATTTACTTTTATAAATTGATTACAGTGTTAAAACATGTAACTGAATATGCAAGTTTATTGTTGTATGTATCAAGTATTGTTTTATGCTGTCTTATGCAACATTTTTTTTTTTTCAAATAGGAAAGCATGGTTTGCAATTGACCTTGGTGTTTGGTTGATTCCATCTTGCTACACTCTAAGGCATGCCCGAGGATATGGAAAGTATGTACAGTTGAAAAATTAACATTAGACATGAATTGGATGAATTGGAGATCTCTAGAAAGTTTTCTGTTGTTTGTTTACATATTTGTATGTGTGTGTGCATGTGTGTTTGAGTAAGTTTACAAAACTTGATGATCATACCCGTATTTGAAGTCATGCACAGAGTCCATGATGACTTCTACTCCTGTATTGAAAATTATGATGAGCAGCCGACAATAACAAAGGCTTCAATCAGGAATCCCAGGTGCTTTTATTTAACAAATCTGTGATCTTGTAGAATATGATGTATGCTGTCATGCATACTTTTACCGGTCCAAGGGAACAGTTCAGAGACAGTCTCATACTTCTCCATGAATAGTTATGGTCATACAGTCTTTGAGAGGACACTCACCTTCAGCTTGATGTGGTTTTTATAACTCAAAACAGTTTCAGAAGTTGGGAAAATGCATAATATTGTCACAAGGAATTGCATTGATCACCTCAGTGTTTTTCTTTGGTTCCATATGAGGCAGTAATAATGAAGTGTTGTCTTCATTTTATCTTCATTTTTCAACATTCTGTTTATGCTTCATTCTTTATTCTGCACAGTGGAATTAAACAGTCTGTCCTTTTCTTACAAGAGTGAACATTTTTCTTCTCTGAGTTGGTAGTTGGAAATTGTAAAGTTGAGGCCATATCGCCACTGGGGTGTTTTGATTGATTTAAAAACAAAAAGGAAATGTCTGCCTGTGCTAGTATGGGCGACTGCCATGGTAGTGCACTTTGGAATTTTTCATTTATGATCTGGGCGCGCATATTAAAACATTACTTGATATTTGCACAGTATAATAATAGTTTTTGAATACAATTAGTACAATTACAGCATTGTGTTTCCCTTCCAATTTAACCGAAGCCTGATAGTTGTAAGAATGGGAAATGCTGACAACAGTGCACATAATCATTTTGCAGGTCAGCACTACGTAACTGGGAGTTTCAGATGTCAAAAGATGGAATTACTTGGCAGACGCTTTACAGGCATGAGAATGACACCTCTTTAAATGAGCCAGGGTAACTAACTTTTTTTTTACTGAGTGGTTAGCATGAATGAAAATATTAAATAAATTGTCACTTAACCTGCATGTTTTGTTTTGTCAGATTTTCTAATATCTGTACCAGCACCCCTGACCTGTACCAGCACCCCGGTCTCTACCAGCACCCCTGACCTGTACCAGCACCCCTGACCTGTACCAGCGCCCCTGACCTGTACCAGCACCCCTGACCTGTACCAGCACCCTGGTCTCTACCAGCACCCCTGACCTGTACCAGCAACCCTGACCTCTACCAGCACCCTGGTCTCTACCAGCACCCCTGACCTGTACCAGCACCCCTGACCTGTACCAGCACCCTGGTCTCTACCAGCAACCCTGACCTGTACCAGCAACCCTGACCTGTACCAGCACCCTGGTCTCTACCAGCACCCCTGACCTCTACCAGCACCCCTGACCTGTACCAGCACCCTGGTCTCTACCAGCAACCCTGACCTGTACCAGCAACCCTGACCTGTACCAGCACCCTGGTCTCTACCAGCAACCCTGACCTGTACCAGCAACCCTGACCTGTACCAGCAACCCTGACCTGTACCAGCAACCCTGACCTGTACCAGCAACCCTGACCTGTACCAGCAACCCTGACCTGTACCAGCAACCCTGACCTGTACCAGCACCCCTGACCTCTACCAGCACCCCTGACCTGTACCAGCACCCCTGACCTGTACCAGCACCCCTGACCTCTACCAGCACCCCTGACCTGTACCAGCACCCTGGTCTCTACCAGCACCCCTGACGTGTACCAGCACCCCTGACCTGTACCAGCACCCTGGTCTCTACCAGCACCCCTGACCTGTACCAGCACCCTGGTCTCTACCAGCACCCCTGACCTGTACCAGCACCCTGGTCTCTACCAGCACCCCTGACCTGTACCAGCGCCCCTGACCTCTACCAGCACCCCTGACCCGTACCAGCACCCCTGACCTGTACCAGCACCCCTGACCTATACCAGCACCCCTGACCTGTACGAGCACCCTGGTCTCTACCAGCACCCCTGACCTCTACCAGCACCCCGGTCTCTACCAGCGCCCCAGTCTCTGCCAGTGCCCCAGTCTCTACCAGCGCTCCAGTCTCTACCAGCGCTCCAGTCTCTACCAGCGCTCCAGTCTCTATCAGCGCTCCAGTCTCTATCAGCGCCCCAGTCTCTGCCAGCGCCCTGGCCTCATGTGGCCATACCTGCTCAGTTGCTAAGACCTGCCAGGAGGCTGTGAGGTGACAAGTGTGGCACACCGACTGTCACTCAGGAATGGTGCCTCACCTGTGGATACAGACCCTGAAAACTGACACTGGCAACATTCTATCCTATTTAATATATCAAACAAATGGTCTAGCTAAACCACACACTATCAAGCTACCTTTAACACAAATATAAATAAATATATCCTTGTAACTATCATAGAAAATTATACTAATATAATTAAATGCTAGTCACCATAAAAAAAACACACACTCTACAATGAACATCTACTCTCTCTACAATAACTTATTCTGTCTCACAAACAACCATCTCCTGGTCACCTGTAAGTTCAGTCTCCTTGTCCCAAAGTCCCGCTTACTTGACTTCCTTGATATACAAGTTTCAAGTCTAGTTCTGTTCACATGTCAAGTGTTGCTAACTTGTTTACCTTACTGTCACTGTCCAGTGGGTGTTTGCCTTTATCCTCTATTCAGTCATTCACAAGCGCATGATCTGTCGGCCTGTGACAAGTACCATTATGTGCACGCCTTGCAGCACACACATTCCTATTTCTCAGAATCTGCATGCCTTGCAGCACACATTCCTATTTCTCAGAATCTGTTTTTTGTAGTTTTTGATTAATCACTGATCATCTTCTAGACAACCCAATAAACTCATCCTCCTTCTCTTTCTGTTGGTGTCTGTGTCTACAGCATCTTGGCCTATTGACCTCCCAGGTGATGAAAAGCAAGGCTGGAGACATGTCAGGCTTCACCAGATTGGCAAAAATGCCAGTGGACAGACCCACTATGTCTCTCTGTCTGGATTTGAAATCTACGGACGTGTCACTGGAGTGTGTGATGATATTGGTAGGAAACGTGCCTGTCTTGCATTCACTACAGTTTGAAGTTGGTTACTACATGCTGTGTCAACTACATAAACAGTAATGTTTGCATATAGAGAGCTGATTTAGTTATTTAAGGGGAAAAAAGGTTAATGAAGTTTTTTTTCTATATGGATATATTTGCATTGGGACTTTTAGTAGTGCTGTGGTTAGATGCTTTGCTGGTCTGAAGTTCTTGGGTTCAAATCCACATCAGGATGGGTTTTTATAATTTACATGGGTCTTTTTTCATGTCAACTCAGCCTAAAAGGAGTATTAGGAAATGTGCTTGGAACTAAAGGTGGCCAAAGTGATGTTGATCACATTATTCATTGAGTGCAGAATGAACCTGTGCACATTATTCTGCAGTGCATGAGGGACACCTCTTATGTAACAGTGAGATTCCTTTTTGAGCTCCCAGTTGTACACCACAGCTGGAGGGCTCAGGCATACCTGAAGATAAGTGCTGATCTGAAGCACCCTTTGTATCACATGCTCTTTAGTGAAAGGGACAATGGACTGAAGAGGATGATAACAGGTCTGCACTCTAACAAACATCCACCCAGGGGAGGAATGGGTACCTGTGCCTCCATCACTCAACTGCACCTTCTTCTGTGTTGAACTTGACAGGAATTGTCAGGATCAGAATCCTCTTGCTTTTAATATGAAGGTCCTAATTCTTATCAGTGACAGTTCACATCAGGCAGTTATGTTGTCTACATCTATGGATCTGCTGTGTGGCGACACAGAAATGCATGGGCATTCACAGCACACCTCGCAGGCATAACAGTCCAGGAGACCAGCTGTGCCCTTTCTATAAAAACTAGCAGCATGACAATCGAGGGGATGGTAGTATCACAAGCTTGCATGTGGCTGGAATCACATGTCTGTTCCCTCACTTGTGTAAGGTGTGATTACATGAGCATGATCCAATGGATCAAGGAAGACTGCAAATGCAAGAAGTGAATTAGGTCACAGCAAAAATTCACCATGAATTACCTTCATCTTTATCCCGGGTATGCTGGTGTTGTTGGCAATTAAAAAAATGAGGGACTGGCTACCTCTGATATAATTGCTGGTTTCCGACCTGGGGATTGCAGTGGCATTATTAATGCTCTTAGAGAAAAAGAGAATGTTCAGAAGATTTTGGTGCCAGTGTATCCACTTTTCTGCTAACATTGGTACAGCCTGGCGTGAGAAGTAAACCAGATGTATGAGAAGTCTTGACAGCAGCTAAGGGCTGTCACTATTAGCCATGGGATGCTGATGTATTTGTGGACACTGTTGTGAGCACCTATGGACGTGTCCTCATTAAAGTACTGATACTCTGTTGCAAAATATGAGTCTGCACCATGTGCCTGATGCACCAGCGGAAACAAATGAGTTCTTTTAATATTTACGCTTCATTATTGACTCTTCATTGTCACAGCAAAACTCAGTGTGAATTTTTTGCATACACAAAGTATAGAACTACCTCGTCAGTACAGAGATTTCCTATGTAACCAAATATTCACTGTAACATATCTAGCTTGGGCAAGCAGCCTTGACTTTCTCACTCACTCTCAAAGCCCTCAAATAAGGAAACAGCAGTGGAACTAAGTGCTCCAGCAGTAGTTTACAGAAAAAAAACCACACATTTAGTTGCCTTATGAAGTTTGCTTGATTTATCAGACTTGTAGAGATGAGTGTTTCACATTTTAAACAACATACAGTTCTCAGTCACTTAGGGTGTTTTTCACAGGCAAAGCAGCAAGAGAAGCAGAGGCAAACTTGCGACGTCAGCGCAGAGTGCTTCGCACTCATGTCCTGAAACAGATGGTGCCCGGAGCCCGCGTAATCCGAGGTATGGACACCCGGACACACAGGACAATAGTGGGCTTTCTGTCCAGCAGCAGGTGTCACATTGTAAGTTAAAGGACATGCTGTCGGCTTTGCTATGATTGCTATATTTTCGCCTATACACACAGGACAATGGTGGGATTTCTATCTAGCAGCAGGTGTCACAATGTGAGTTAAAGGGCATGATGTTGGCTTTGCTATGATTGCAGTCTGTTCACCTGGACACGCAGGACATTGGTGGGCTTTCTGCTGGCTTTGCTATGATTGCTATATTTTCACCTATACACACAGGACAATGGTGGGATTTCTATCTAGCAGCAGGAGTCACATTGTAAGTTAAAGGACATACTGTCGGCTTTGCTATGATTGCTATATTTTCACCTATACACACAGGACAATGGTGGGCTTTCTGTCTAGCAGCAGGAGTCACATTGTAAGTTAAAGGACATACTGTCGGCTTTGCTATGATTGCTATATTTTCACCTATACACACAGGACAATGGTGGGCTTTCTGTCTAGCAGCAGGAGTCACATTGTAAGTTAAAGGACATACTGTCGGCTTTGCTATGATTGCTATATTTTCACCTATACACACAGGACAATGGTGGGCTTTCTGTCTAGCAGCAGGTGTCACATTGTAAGTTAAAGGACATACTGTCGGCCTTGCTATGATTGCTATATTTTCACCTATACACACAGGACAATGGTGGGCTTTCTGTCCAGCAGCAGGTGTCACAATGTGAGTTAAAGGGCATGATGTTGGCTTTGCTATGATTGCAGTCTATTCACCCAGACACAAAGAACAATGGTGGGCTTTCTGTGTGGGTTTTGCTGACACAGGAATGCAGTAATTATGGGGAGACCTGTTTGCTGTGAAATTGGATTACAGAACAAAACAACTTGTAGATGTGCTGATACCACTAGAAGAGAATGCACGTATTTGTTTGCTCTTGCAGTCTTTTGTTTTTATGCAGATACTTTAATTGTTGAAAGTGTAAGAGACTGTTTGTGTTCGCAGGCTGGGTGGATGTGACATGGGATGCAGGTGGCTCTAATTCATACCGCATGGGTGCAGAAGGAAAATTTGACCTGGCCTTGGGTCCATCACATGACCCAGACAAGTTGAGGTTCACAAAACCTGATACTGTGTCCACTCCAACTCTTAGCAGAAACAAAAACAGTATGGCAGGCCTTGCGGCCACTTCAGAGAAAATTAAGGTATAATATAACTGCTAGGTTAAGACAATTTTATGGTTAATATAACATCTTTAAGTGGTTTAACAAAAATTACCTTAAAGCACATAAAAAAATGTAATGTCAATAATGATAAATCAGTATACTAGAATCTTCATCATCATCATGTAGCAGGTCCTTTGCAGAACATGAAAGAAACCCTCCTTACAAGAATCTTAAATAAATAAAAGCATTATGTTCTATTTAAAGTAAACTAAAGCTGTGGTATATATATACAACAGTTATTTAGGTTGAAAATTTGAATGTGGGAGAATTATTTAAATAATGCACATTGAAAGAGAGAGAGCACGAGCACAAATATCACAAAGCTGCATGTGGGAGAGTGGGTGGATTATTGCACACTGAGAGTGAGAGAGAGAGACAGCAAATATTACAAAAATGTGCGTGTGGGAGAATGAGCGGATTAATGAAGAGAGAAAGAGCGCGTAAATATCACAAAGCTGCATGCGGGAGAGTGGGTGGATTATTGCACACTGAGAGTGAGAGAGAGAGAGACAGCAAATATTACAAAAATGTGCGTGTGGGAGAAAGAGTTGATTAATGCAGAGAGAGAGAGCGTAAATATCACAAAGCTGCATGCGGGAGAGTGGGTGGATTAATGCACACTGAGAGAGAGAGAGAGCACAAATATCACAAAGCTGCATGTTTCAGAGTGGGGGGGATTAATGCACACTGAGAGAGGGAGGGAGAGAGAGCACAATATCACAAAGCTGCATGGGGAGAGTGGGTGGATTAATGCAGAGAGAGAGAGAGAGAGAGAGAGCATAAATATCACAAAGCTGCATGTGGGAGAGTGGGTGGATTAATGCACACTGAGAGAGAGAGAGAGAAAGAGAGAGAGAGAAAGAGAGAGAGAGAAGAGCGCAAATATCACAAAGCTGCATGTGGGAGAGTGGGTGGATTAATGCACACTGAGAGAGAGAGAGCACAAATAAAACAAAGCTGCATGTGGAAGAGTGGGTGGATTAATGCACACTGAGAGAGAGAGAGCACAAATATCACAAAGCTGCATGTGGGAGAGTGGGGGGATTAATGCACAGAGAGAGAGAGAGCACAAATAAAACAAAGCTGCATGTGGAAGAGTGGGTGGATTAATGCACACTGAGAGAGAGAGAGCACAAATAAAACAAAGCTGCATGTGGAAGAGTGGGTGGATTAATGCACACTGAGAGAGAGAGAGCACAAATATCACAAAGCTGCATGTGAGAGAGTAGGGGGATTAATGCACACTGAGAGAGAGAGAGAGAGAGAGAGAGAGAGAGAGAGAGAGAGAGAGAGAGAGAGAGAGAGAGAGAGCGCAAATATCACAAGCTGCATGTGGAAGAGAGTGGATTTATACCTTTAGATATCTGCCTAGCCTTGAGGAATCACATGGGGGGGGGGGGGGGGGGGGGGTTGATTGGTAGAATTGGCCCTCTCGTTGGCCCTCATCCTGGCATGGTCTACTAACTCTTTCAGGACTTAATTATGGCGCCATGTATATCATCATTGGCTTAGGGCTTTTCTTCACACGGACAGTGGGTGCTCGAGTGTCTGCTTAGCTCTGCATAGAGGACATGTGCGGTTGGTGGTCGCAAACCACTTGTCAAGATTGAGACTAGAGAGTAACACATCATAAACAGATCTTATGACAAAGCTCAGCCGTAGCAGGGCCATTCGCCGGATCTCACCCCATGTGAGTATTCTTGGCAAGGCGCTCTCAAGGCCGATCCACTGGCCTTGCTGCGACTGTTGTGCAGCTGTTTGGACCCAAGTCTAGTTTTTGGTGTCCCTTATCTTCTGTATTACCATGTCTCTACGTTCTTTGGCCAATGCTTTGGACCACCAAGTGACTTTTAAACGCCCTAGGCCGCGTCAGTCGGTGCAATTTCAGTGCTATCTGAGCAGATTCTGTTGCATCTAGAACCTTCCGTTTCATATCTCCCTTACGATACACGCACTTCGTGATTGTAACAGCCTCTGAAAACATGCTGAGGAAGGTGAGGACAGGTATGTTTCGTACAGAGTGGCAAGCTTCACTCCAGGGCTGGTTTAGTGGAAAATGGCAAACTTTGCACAGCTTGGTGAAATACTGATGCATGATAAGGCCGACGTGGCCAAAGCCCTGTGGGAGCATGTGTACAGTTGGGAGGAGCAAATGGTGGAGTCTCACAGTTTGGTGAGAGTGATGCATCGAGGAGTGAGAATGGGATCTGGCCGATACTATCCGCTCAGAAGAAAGGCAACACAGATATATAATCAGTCTGCTACTGGTACCCTTGTTACTCGAAGTCTGTGCTGGCTGCTAAAATAAAGGACATGCGCTTATGGGAAGCCCTAAGTGCTTTGATGTCTGTTCTTGAATCAGCTCAGCTCAGGGCACCACAAGGAGCCCTCCCACTTAGACATAAAGGAAACACACCAAGAGGTCGACCATGCAAGTAAAGGACAGATGTAATATCTGAGATTATATATACCAGCATCTGTTTTAAAACCTGACGCTGAAAGACAAAACATGACCAGAGAAAAGAAGAACATTCTCACTGTGTTAATGTAGATACACAGAAAATATAAAATAATAGGAGAATAAAAAGCAAGTTAATAATGAACAAGTTGAGCTCATATAGAACATATTTCTTTGCTAGGTTGGTGTGCTGACAAGTCGAAAGAGTAGTTCCACTCCTAGTCTCAGTGATGTGATGGACTCTAGAGCATCTGTTGCCAGCACTGAACAGGCTTCTTCCGCAGAAAACCTCACATCCAGTATTAAAGCGGTGAGCACACAAATCTAATGTCTTAATATCTAGGTCTGTGGACTCAATATTTTCCTTGCATTTATTGTTGACTGTTAAATTGCAACCTACCTCATGACAAATAGAGTTTACAATCTACGCCAGTCGAAGGACTCAAGTCACATTTCTTGTAAATCTTCTAATCTCCCAGGGATACATACTTCACAGTTTTGCAGTCTGTTGATTCCTCTTCTTCTCTTTCTCTTTTACCGTTTCAAGTGTTGAGGAAGGTGTAAGGTTCTTTGGTTCTTGCTCTTCATGTGCCTATCTTTTCCAGCTTTCTTCACTGCATTGGATAACTTTTTTTTTTCCATCCAGTTTTTTCATCTTTGTTGAATGTTGTTCCCAGATGAGTAAACTCGCGTGTCTCTTTAATACCTTTTCACGCTACCCCTTTATTTAAGTTCTAGTTACTTCTTCCCCTGTGGTGTAGAGGCTAGACACTTCTAGGCAGGGAAGGGCTTGGGTTCAAATTCAAATAGAGCCAAAATTTAAAAAATAAGCCTTTGGCTCCCATGTTGACCAAACCTTAAGTGAGTACTAGGTAAAGTTGAGGGAAGTAAAGGCTGGTGTGATGTCAACAGCATCAGCCACCAAGTGCTGCTATTTGATCTATAAAGGCCTAGCACTATCTGCCTAATATGGCTGATGGTGTGGAAAAGGATCTTTTGCTTTGCTTTTTTTCCCTGATGACATTTCTTGTCTTTTAGAGATGCTTTATTTGTTAGTTACCCCAAACAGGGGAAATCAACAGCTGATGGGACAGTCGACTATTTTAGGGGTTGCAACTTTGCTGTGTGTTGTGTGGCTTATTTCTGTGTGTTGGTGCGCAATCGGCTGATGTACAATACTGGTCATATTTTCAGGTCTCTTTGTCATGTTGATGTCTAGTGTAGTTGGTATCACATCTGCCTTACATTCGAAAGGAGATGCGTTCAACCCTTACAAGGGTTGTTTCTTGTTTGACAATCACAACAATGTAAAATATCTATGGGTCCTAGTCTGGCGCTTGTTTCTCTCTTTTGCTGACATCCACATAGGTTCGATGCTTTGCGTATGCGCACCTATGGTGGGGTCAACAAAATTGATGGAGGGAATGTCTCTGAGCTCATCATCATCTCTTATTATCTTGGCATACATTTGACCAGCATGACTTTAAAAAAAATTCCTCGGCGTCTACAGCGTTCTTGCTTGCTCCCTAACATTCTTCCACAGTGGTATAAATGTTGCAAAGTGCCAGTCAGTTGCAGCAGCTTGTTGTACCCATGCTGCATTAAAAATTGTGTGAAACCATCTGATGTTACTTTCAACTGCTCCTAAAATTATTTCTGTTGGCAATCTATCAACTCCTGGTGGTTAATATTTAGGTGACTGTTGAATGCTCTTTTCTACTTCATCAGTTGTATTTCTGGTTCTAACATCGTTGCTTTAGTCTTGTGTTATTCTTTCCTGTTGGTCTGTATTGATTTAAATGACAAATTTAGGAGTACATGATAATAGTGACTTATAGGATATGACATCTGCTTCAAGCACATGCAGACTTAGTTTATTTCACTGTCTGGACTAGTGGAATTTTAAAAAAAAAAGGAAGAAAGAACAGAGTACACTTCCATGATACTGAGATAATTTATTAGGCTTCTATCTAAAACAAGGATGAACAACTCAGAAGACCTATCGCATTGTTGAAAAATCCTTTTCCATTTGGCAGTCAGAAAGAGCACATATAGTTTTTGTTCCCCTATCCATTTTTAATAAAACCTACACAGAAAGCAAAATACAGTGATACATTAGTATATGATCGCTCTGATGCATGTTTCATTTAATATACGTCCTGTTTAGACATGAACACTTTTACTTGGTATATGACCTTTGTTTAGAATACAGCCCATGTGCTTGAACTTGTACAAGTCAAAATTAGTCACAACTGTTCTCGCAGTCTTTATTTGCCTATCTCAAACAAAGCAAAGGATAGATGTCAATGACTTTGCAGAGAAGCATCACCCTAACAAAGCCCAAACAAGCTGTAATAATAGGATCGTCTGGGAGGACCAGACAGTGTCATATTTCTGGAACCTCAGGAGGAGGACATTTTTGTGTGTGTGGGTAAAAGTCAAACCTGATGAGCCTCAGCCAGGTCCAAGTAGAAAAAGGAGACCAAAAATAAAAAAAAATGAGAAAACAGCACAGGGGGTAATGGTGATCCCTGTGGGAGGCTGGGGTGTTGTAGGTTCAGAGGTCTAACTGCCACACTTAACTTAATTCTACTTCTTATTGGAAGAGGGCTGCAGAGATCCAGCTGAGAAGGAATGGACTTATTTACTGCTTTCTTTCCCTTTGACCATGAAACCAGGGGTTTTGTCATCACAGCCACGTAGTGCAAAGTGAGATTTTATGAGGCTCTTATGATCACTGTTGTCGGTCATTTCTTAATCCCAAATCATCATCATCTTTGCGCTCAGTTTCCTATGCTCAGATCAGATCCTTAGGTGGGCTTGGTCTATGAATACGCATGTCAGTTGCAGGTTCCTCTTGGTTCCCTACAGTTGCTGTGCACACTCTACTCTTGAGGCCAGGTTCCTCTTGGTTCCCTACAGCTTGCTGTGCACTCTACTCCTGAGGCCAGGTTTCTCTTGGTTCCCTACAGCTTGCTGTGCACTCTACTCTTGAGGCCAGGTTCCTCTTGGTTCCTTATAGCTTGCTGGGGGGGGGGGGGGGGTATTCTTACTTTTTGGTACATATTCAAGTATTAGGAATGGATTAAGTAATTATACTGAGGTACCACTGTATTTGTAATGTGTGATCCCGGTTTACACACATTTATATTCTCACTTGGGTTATGGAGATTGTGCACTGTGCAGAGATTTCCACGTGTTCTATGTTGGAGAAAACTGGCGCACTCACATGCAGTGAAAATGAATATTATTTAATCTTCTTTTCAAGCTCACCAGCTGGTTCTTTGCCTCTCAGGCAGATGCACTCCGACTTCAAAGGAAGCTCCAAATTAGTCGACTCTAATGACATGCTTTTGGGTAGGCAGTGGGTCTATTCTTGTTTTCCCTATAATAGGGCCCCGGAACCCACAAGGGATAATTTAATCTTGTATGTTGTCTTCTGTAAAATGGCATTTAAGATGTCTAAAGGATTTTATGTGTTAGTGTCACATAAAGGTGATTTAACTGATAACTTTTTAATTATCGTCATCATTTCTGTTTGACACTTGCAACATTGTAACATTCTTTGTTTAATTTGTTTTCATCAAAGGCTGCAGAAAATGTAGCAGAGAGCATGGTCAATCTTGCCAGCTCTGAAGCTATTGTCATGGTAACCATGGAGAGCGCTGAAGAGGAAGCAACTACACCTAGTGGCACAGCCCCAGCATTCAGTGGTCCAAGTGGTTCGGGCTTAAACACATCCAGCCTGACTGCAACCAAAGGAAGTAATATGGTGGCCGCCGATCCCTTAGTTGTTGTACATAGAGGAAATGATGACAGTCTGGGAGATTATGGTGTGTTGGACCTGGCTTCAGATCTGGCACTTGGGCTGGATGTAGGTTCCTTATCAGAGTCTTTGAGAGGTGCAGAAGGTGGAGTCAAGGTAAGTTCACTACCATGTATGTTAAATGTACAACTTTAAAAATCTTAATCTATTATAAACAGATTGTATATTAATGTTTTACAGAAGTGGGAGTTATTTCAATATGCTGTGATTCTGATTTTTTCAACTTTTCAGGAGCATGTACAGAATTTGCAGAATGCACGTGACTCCAGGGATAAAGCTGCTAAAAGTGATGCCCGAAAGACTGGTATTCCTGAAGAGACAACCAGAGGATCACCTACCAATTCTATGAGTGCCAGCGAGCCAAATTTGCCTACTAGTTTAGATCCAACAGCAAGCCTGTTAGACTCCTTTGTGGCAGTCACTCGTCGCAACATGACTGCTCCACATGGCAGCAATATAGTACGCAACACACATGCCAGCAGTTTAGTTCGCTTGGCATTGGCCAATTCACCAAGTAAGTGACAGTAATGTTACATTTAGTGATGCATTTCTACAAATATATGCAGCCTTTAGTCAGATAGGAAAAACCCTTACTCTCTACAAAATATGGTGACTTGACTATAATGTAAAAATGACGAAAATGTGCAGTTTTTGAGTGTGATGACAGTTGATGCCTGATCCGTGATTCCGGTGATCTCGTGGGATTGTAAACCATGATCCCTTATGCACATGATGACAATAGTTGAGGAACGTTTAGCTTTTGTGGATACAAAAAAAATGTAGTCGCAGAAGCCACAATAGGAACTTATAGGCTAAACTTGGGGGGGGGGGGGGGGGGGGGGGCGTGGTCTTGAGGAATGGTATCCGTGTCGAGTGCTGGAGGCCCTGATGAAGGCTGGGATTTTTTAACGTGAACTTCTAGTAATTTCTTCTAGTCTCTTGGTAAGAAGATTGGATGCCCATGAATATTGTTGCGCACGTTAAAAATGCATTTGGAAATAAAAAATAGAGCCTAACAGCGCTGCCCAGGCATAATTTGGAGTTAAAATCTATCCAAGGCATTACAGGATGCCTACTGGTACTACAAAGTCCGTGCCCTGCGCGGAGGAATCAAAAGTTGAACGGAGCACTTATGGGTTACCTCTCGTGCCGTGATGTTGATCCATCGTCTAAACCATCTGGTTCAACTACAGATTTCAAGAGAAGGCAGAAATTGAATGAAGTTTCTTTGTGTGGGTTTCGAATGTATGTGTGTGTGTGTGTGTGGGGGGGGGGGGAGGGGGAGGAATTAGACCCACTGATCCTCTAACAAATATTTCTGCACCAAACAGGTAAAGTTAAGAGGATCGACTTATGGCACTGGTCGTCTCCCACTCATATGACTCAGTCTCCTCAGAATGGCTAGCCACCTACTGAGAATGTTGCATGAACTATGTAGCTCCAGTGACTCCCCAGGAAGCTGTGTAAAAACTTCATTATTGAACCGAATGACACAACTGTAAAACAAACTCACTGAAATAAAGTTGTTTAAGATTGTAACATATTTCACACTATTTAAACAATTGGCAAGTAGTCCTCAAGATTCTTGTTGAATCAGATTTGATAAAAGGATTTTTTCCCCCCAGATAATTTACTGAGTGCTGCTCAGAGCTACCCTAGTCTTACAGCCTCAAACGTGCCTACCTCCAGTACTCTCACAACCACTCAGACTATGGCAAATGTGATGTCACTGAGTCAGGTTTGTCGCTTCTATTTGTTGAATATTTTGTGTGTGTGCCAAACAGGGTTTGTATAATTGATAGTCATGGTACAGCTATGTAGAGTGGTGGTGATATCAGGGTGTCATTTGTTGCAGAAGAAAAAGAACTGCAGATAACAAATCTTTTAAGCCTTTTGCTAGCAAGCAAGATCGTAGACAGTTTCTAAAGGTGATTGGGTCACTAATACCTTACGTGCTTGTACCCAGTTGCTGGAAGTGATTACGGCACTGATATATTGTTTGCATTTGAACAGAAATTACAGATTACCAACTGCTATCATTAAGTGGGTCGTCAACATCTACAGTGTTTTTTCCTTTCAAATAAAAACAACTTAAATAGAACTATCGATGAATTCAGTTGTGGAATTGATAAAATTGTTGCTAGATATTTACTGCGAGAGAGTCACTCATAGACACACAAGAGACAGTTATTTTGGCCCTTGTATGCACCTTGGTGGGGACAAGTCAAGTCACAAAAGAAGATAGTTGATATTTTCAGTCATTATTTAGCGCAAACTGGATTTATTACTTGAAGGGAAGTAATGACTATATACAGAGTAAAGAATTTACTGCTTTCTTTCCCTTTGACCATGAAACCAGGGGTTTTGTCATCACAGCCACGTAGTGCAAAGTGAGATTTTATGAGGCTCTTATGATCACTGTTGTCGGTCATTTCTTAATCCCAAATCATCATCATCTTTGCGCTCAGTTTCCTATGCTCAGATCAGATCCTTAGGTGGGCTTGGTCTATGAATACGCATGTCAGTTGCAGGTTCCTCTTGGTTCCCTACAGTTGCTGTGCACACTCTACTCTTGAGGCCAGGTTCCTCTTGGTTCCCTACAGCTTGCTGTGCACTCTACTCCTGAGGCCAGGTTTCTCTTGGTTCCCTACAGCTTGCTGTGCACTCTACTCTTGAGGCCAGGTTCCTCTTGGTTCCTTATAGCTTGCTGTGCACACTCTTGAGGCCAGGTTTCTCTTGGTTCCCTACAGCTTGCTGTGCACACTCGACTCTTGAGGCCAGGTCACTCTTGGTTCCCTACAGCTTGCTGTGCACACTCTTGAGGCCAGGTTTCTCTTGGTTCCCTACAGCTTGCTGTGCACACTCTTGAGGCCAGGTCCCTCTTGGTTCCCTACAGTTGCTGTGCACACTCTTGAGGCCAGGTTCCTCTTGGTTCTCTACAGCTTGCTGTGCACACTCTTGAGGCCAGGTTTCTCTTGGTTCTCTACAGCTTGCTGTGCACACTCTACTCCTGAGGCCAGGTTCCTCTTGGTTCCCTACAGCTTGCTGTGCACACTCTTGAGGCCAGGTTTCTCTTGGTTCCCTTCAGCTTGCTGTGCACACTCTACTCCTGAGGCCAGGTTCCTCTTGGTTCCCTACAGCTTGCTGTGCACACTCTACTCTTGAGGCCAGGTTCCTCTTGGTTCCCTACAGCTTGCTGTGCACTCTACTCCTGAGGCCAGGTTCCTCTTGGTTCCCTACAGCTTTGCTGTGCACACTCTACTCTTGAGGCCAGGTTTCTCTTGGTTCCCTACAGCTTGCTGTGCACTCTACTTTTGAGGCCAGGTTCCTCTTGGTTCCTTATAGCTTGCTGTGCACACTCTTGAGGCCAGGTTTCTCTTGGTTCCCTACAGCTTGCTGTGCACTCTACTCCTGAGGCCAGGTTCCTCTTGGTTCCCTACAGCTTGCTGTGCACTCTACTCCTGAGGCCAGGTTTCTCTTGGTTCCTTATAGCTTGCTGTGCACATTCTACTCTTGAGGCCAGGTTTCTCTTGGTTCCCTACAGCTTGCTGTGCACACTCTAGTCTTGAGGCCAGGTTTCTCTTGGTTCCCTACAGCTTGCTGTGCACTCTACTCTTGAGACCAGGTTTCTCTTGGTTCCCTACAGCTTTGCTGTGCATTCTACTCTTGAGGCCAGGTTTCTCTTGGTTCCTTACAGCTTGCTGTGCACTCTACTCCTGAGGCCAGGTTCCTCTTGGTTCCCTACAGCTTTGCTGTGCATTCTACTCTCGAGGCCAGGTTTCTCTTGGTAGTTGTAAGTATAGTGGGCAGGCCTGCAGATTATGCTTAAGTGACTGTGATCCCATCTGATGTGCACACTGTGGGGACTCAACAGTATTTTATGCATGTGATAGTTGAGCCTGTAGAGACATGTTCTTAGATGAACAATTATTGTATGTTGTTTCAGTTGTCTGTTGATGGGGTTTTGTAGATGTTTACTTGTGTGTGTGTGTGTGTGTGTGTGTGTGTGTGTGTGTGTGTGTGTGTGTGTTTTGACAGTTCTGTGTATTTTTCCTGGATAAGTGATTTGATTTCTGACAGTGATTGGGCATGTTCCATTCTTTGCTAGTCTCTCCGTCTCTGGGGTTTTTGTGCACTTAAATCTCTCTCTATCTCCCTCTCTCTCTCTCTCTCTCTCTCTCTCTCTCCCCCCCCCCTCTCTCTCTCTCTCTCTCTCTCTCTCTCTCTCTCTCTCTCTCTCTCTCTCCCTCCCTCCCTCCCTCTCCGCCCCCTTCCCCCTCCCCGTCTTCTAGGCATTAACAACATTGGTAATCACAATATCTTTGCTGTCTTCCAGGCATTAACACGCAGTGTGACATCAACATCCAGTGAAAGTGACAATGAATTTTTAGAAACATATAGAGCTCATACACTTTTAGCGGAACTGGAGGACGATGAAGAATTGCCAGAACCTGATGATGATGATGATGAAAACGAGGATGAGAATGAAGATGATGAAGACTATGATGATGTTATGGTAAGCCTGTTTTTTTAATTTCACAATTTGAAAACTATCAGGAAAAAAAAGAATTTATTAAGACAGTAAATTGTTATCTGCTTCATAATTCATACTAAGATCTTTACATAACCGTCTTTAATAAAAGCGTTATTTTCAGATTCATAATTGGTGAAGTTTGCTAGTGCCATTTTTTGTTGCATTTATTTTGTGCAAAAGTTTATACAGAGATTATCAAATGAGGACATTTTGTGCAATAAATCCATATCATTGAAGGTGAGGAAAAGAATAAATCACGGAACATCTAAACCATTCACCATTCTGAAGTAAGACAGGGATGTGTCTTATCACCACTGCTGTTTGTCGTATATGTTGACAGTATATGCAAGGATACTAAGCCCAGGAGCGAAAAAGTTAATAACATAAACAAATTACTGTTGATGATAACAGGCAGATACAGCCAAGAACGTGAAATGAATACTATGAGAATCAACACTAAAAAAAAAACCCCACATAAGTAAGGTCAATAGGATGAAAGAAGTAGAACCTAAATTCAACAGTAGAGTGCAGGGGCATTAAACAGGCATCTGAGTTTAAATATCTGGGAACATATTCATTGAAAATAGTAAATTAGATGTAGAAATTACCATCCAGTGCAGTAAGGCAAACCATATATTGGGACAGCTAGTCCACCTCTTAAGACACAAGACAATCCCAGTCAGCACAAAGAAACATCTCATACAAAGCATATTCATTCCAACCCTACTCTGCCTGTGCCATACATGGTCATACAAAACATATTCATTCCAACCCTACTCTGCCTGTGCCATACATGGTCATACAAAACATATTCATTCCAACCCTATTCTGCCTGTGCCATACATGGTCATACAAAACATATTTATTCCAGCCCTACTCTGCCTTTGCCATACATGGTCATACAAAACATATTCATTCCAACCCTATTCTGCCTGTGCCATACATGGTCATACAAAACATATTTATTCCAGCCCTACTCTGCCTGTGCCATACATGGTCATACAAAACATATTCATTCCAACCCTATTCTGCCTGTGCCATACATGGTCATACAAAACATATTCATTCCAACCCTATTCTGCCTGTGCCATACATGGTCATACAAAACATATTTATTCCAGCCCTACTCTGCCTTTGCCATACATGGTCATACAAAACATATTCATTCCAGCCCTACTCTGCCTGTGCCATACATGGTCATACAAAACATATTCATTCCAGCCCTACTCTGCCTGTGCCATACATGGTCATAAAAAACATATTCATTCCAACCCTACTCTGCCTGCGCCATACATGGTCATACAAAACATGTTCATTCCAACCCTATTCTGTCTGTGCCATACATGGTCATACAAAACATATTCATTCCAGCCCTACTCTGCCTGTGCCATACATGGTCATACAAAACATATTCATTCCAAGCCTACTCTGCCTGTGCCATACATGGTCATACAAAACATATTCATTCCAACCCTACTCTGCCAGTGCTAGACATGGTCACTCCAACAAACCAGAAAAGAAAGTGAATAACCTTGGTTTTTAGGTAAACGAGAAGGGCTGCAAGAGAAGAGATACAATCAGTAATGAGATAACAAGAGAAAAGGTGCCACAGAACCAATTCTAAATTACATACAAAGACAGCAAATCGAATGGTTTGCACACTTAGAGAGAATGCCTTGTGATACCATACCATATAAGGCATACATAAAAGAGAAGAATGTAGAACACAAGATAGACCAAGAAAGATAACATCAGGGAAACTGCAGCAGCATGACGTGTCCGTGATGGAGGTAACCAGAAGAGCAGGACACAAAATCGAATATCTCCCTCGACACATGCAGCGGTAAAAGAGGAAGTGTAGGAGAAAAAGAGGTCATTGGGCGGGGGTATAGAAGTAACTATTATAAAGAACATGTTGTTTTGGCAGCAAACAGCAGCTGTAGGAATTATAACAATTTGAAAAAATTGCAGAGCACAAAAAGGTGAGGAAGACAAGGATGTGTACTATCACCTGATTTTTCTTCATTATGTAGTTCCAGTGCCTTGTGGGTTCCAGGGTCCCATTGTGGGGGAAAACAAGAATAAACCCACTGGCTGCGCAAAAGCATGTCATAAGAGTCGACTAATTGGGAGCTTCCTTCTAAGTTGGAGTACATCTGCCTGGAAGGCAAGGAACCAACAGTCTGCATGCAGATGAGTCAGAGCTGTGAAATGGATGTGCACGCAACACTCAGTTTCTGGAGCAGGACTAGAGTCTAGAAGTGGACAAAAAACCAGAACTTAAATGTGACCACCACGATCGCTTCGAGAATTTGACGCCATGATTAAAAACTTTGTCAGTGTGTCTACATGGGAGCTACAATTAAAAGCCATAAAAAATTTACTATAAGCACTTCAGAGCTGTTTCCATTAATGAAAAATAGAAAACTGATTGGGTTAAAGGTTGCAGCCAAATTCATCTAAAAAATCGCTTGACAGTGAGCATCTAAAGTTAAGATTGCAAGTGATGTGAACGTGGTAGCCAGGCATAAATGTCGCCTGATCGCATAACGTGCGATTGAGGTAATCAGTGGGTTACAAGTGTGGACATTGTTAAAGAGTTTTCAATAACACTAATGGAGATTCTCTACAATAAATTATTACAGATAATAAGGCTACATTCAATCTGCATATTGACCTGAGCATGAATGTTTTCAGTCAAGTTTAGCTTTATTTTCAGAATACTGACATTTTATGTCTGCAGGAAGATGAGGAGCTTGAGCCCAGAGACAGACGATCCTGGGATGATGAGTTTGTATTGAAAAGGCAGTTTTCTGCTCTTATCCCAGCCTTTGATCCCAGACCAGGCCGCACCAATGTCAACCAGACTCAGGACTTTGACATTCCTCCGCCTGGTAAAATTATCATAGCAATTCAATGGTTATTTATACCTGATTAAACACTTGTTTTTAACAACGTATACATATTTTTAAAATAAGATCTGCTGCCTTAGATTCTCAGCATGTCTCCACTTTTTTATATCTTATGTTTTCCAGTCTTAGTTTTTGGTGAGAGTTTTATCTTCCCTTATGATAATTTTGTTTTTAGAAAAATCATCTACTACAGTTTAAAATGTTCTGTCATTTTGTGCTCTATTTATAATTAGACCTAAGCACTTGTGAGTGGAAACTTTATTGTATTCAAGTGATGACATGTGCATGTTACTGCAGAAATATAGTGCTTGAAATGTTGGTGGTGAGCTTATTAAATAGTATTGAATACATGTTAGAAGAAAGGTGAATCAAGTCTAAAGAAGTTGCGTTCGCTGCCACAAGTTTCAAAGACACATCTAAGCTGTCAAATGGGGGAGAATGCAAGTAGTATCCTCTTCAGGATAAATGAAGAAGAAAAAGAATGATTGCACAACTTATTGCCTGGCAAATTATTGCTTGGCAAATTTAGGTGTATCTCATTAGGTGCATAATACAGTAACATTGTAACATATCTCTACTGTTTGTGTCCTCTTTGTTCAAATCCACAAAAGGGAAATACTGTTTATATATATATATATATATATATATATATATATATATATATATATATATATATATATATATATATATATATATATATATATATATTTTTTTTTATATATATATATATATATACACACACACACACACACACGCACGCATGTGCGCGTGTCTCTTTTAAAATTTCCTTTAGCAACTATTTTTATTCCTAGTCACTTGAGAGTGTCTTTGATTTTGCTTCCATAAACTACAACCCAATAATGCATAGCCATCTAGCTCTAAGAAATAATTCAAGATATTTGGTTTAAATTAATAAATTGTTTCTCTTGAGAGCCACTGGATGTTGACAAATTCTCATTGTTTTAAGAAAAACATGTTTTCCCATGTAGGTTCCAGAGCTCCATGTAGTTTAAGAAAAACATGTTTTCCCATGTAGGTTCCAGAGCTCCATGTAGTTTGAGAAAAACATGTTTTCCCATGTAGGTTCCAGAGCTTCATGTAGTTTAAGAAAAACATATTTTCCCATGTAGGTTCCAGAGCTCCTTTTTGTTTAAGAAAAACATGTTTTCCCATGTAGGTTCCAGAGCTCCATGTAGTTTGAGAAAAACATGTTTTCCCATGTAGGTTCCAGAGCTCCATGTTGTTTAAGATAAACATGTTTTCCCATGTAGGTTCCAGAGCTCCATGTTGTTTAAGAAAAATATTGAAGAATAGACTCGCTGGCTCTCTAAGCATGTAATGCAAGGTGATTAAGTAGGGATGTTTCCTTCAAAAATTGGAGTGCATCTGCATGGGTGACAAGGAACCAACAGTTTGCCTTCAAATAAGCCAGATCTGTATAAAAAAAAAAAACTCAATTTGTGGAATAAGTTGAATGTTCAGATGTTGATGAACAACACAGCCAGTGAATACTAAGAAGAAGAAAATGACAAATATGTAAAGTATTGTTAAAAGTAAGTTTAAATAAAGAAGCATATAAGCAGTTTATACAAACAGGATCATTGTATCAATTTTCAGCTACTGAAGACAGCTCCACCAGTGAGAGTCAGACCTTTGTGGCCCAGCCCAAACTGTGTCTGACCTTAAAGGCTCCATGCCTGCCTGGAGTGAGTTACCATAGTTTGTATTTTACAGAGTTGTTTTTGTTGTGTGTATACTATTGGTTGCTTACTGTTCCTTAATAGGTGTTATTTCCTATCTGTAAGTATGTGAATGGTTAGTTGCGTATCCTTTACAGGACGTTACAGAACCAACCCCAACAGCCCCTGCCTGTTGTGTGGTTTTTCTAAAAAATGTTATTGCTGTTGTGTGGTTTTTCTAAAAAAAATTACGTCCAATAGTTTGCCATTCCTTTCTGGACGGTCGGCTTTCTTGATACAACTGTTAAAAACTAACGCAAGGCGCATGGCCTGCTGCTGGGATCGAACCCAGCATTACGAAGTGTTCGCATCGACTTAGCCACAGAGCCGACAAGTATGTGAATAGGTTTGCTTTAAATAAAAATAAAAACATTGCAGCTGATGCATGAAAAACTAGTTTCCCACTAACTTAAAAGTAAATGTGGACTTCTGTTTTGGGGGCTCTATTGAATGTTAAATTAAGAATCGACATCACAGCACTTGCTCCATCCCCATCTTCAGCAGCAAGTGAAGAGTTAACATTCCGATGGTAACAGTAACTGTCTGATTGTATATCTGTCTCGCCCTCCCCCCTAGTTTCAAGCGTCGGCCAGATCCCCTTGTAACTCCTCGCAGTGCCATTCTCCTTAGACCGTAATGATCTGTCTGTGCCTCGGCACTGTTCACTAGCTCCCTAAGGGCCCTTACAACAACCAGCTTGTCATACATCAGTTCATCATTAAGTGATGCAGAACTAGCCAGTCTATCTGCCTGCTCATTTTCAACACACCGGCATAACCTGGAAAAAGTATCCAAAGGATGCTAACTACCAGGGACCTTTAAAGTGATGCTTGCCACTTTGCACGGAGCATGCCTGACTCCACCTTTCTCAACAAGCTTCGTGAGTCAGTTACAATGACGCCATGTGTGTACAGCTAATTCTCAAGCCAGCGGAATGCAGCAGTCACTGCCTTCACCTCCATTCTCAAACTAGACGTTGTGATATCATATGCCAGCCTTTGTTGCACTAAGCGACGTTCATTCACCTTCACGATGAACCCCCATGCACTTTGTCTGCCTCTCAACACAGAGCCAACTGTATAAACAATCACATCACCTGGGCGGGAATCGTCATGAATCATTTGTTCAATTTCTGATTTTGCAGCACCAACTAACTAGTCTCTGCATTCACGTCCCAAAGTGATCAGAAAGCTACACAAGTCTTGAAACGTGATCGGACACTTTGATCCACTCCTCTCCTCGTCTAAATTTATCAAGCCTGCTCACATGTCCAATTGTGTCTTCAGCAATTGTGCGCCATCTTTTTTCAGTCTGTGACCCTTAGCTTTTTAAAGATGTTAAATTCTGTTTCAACACTCCCTCATTTTATTAATTGTTGTTTTAACACAGATGAATGATGAGGAAGTGGTCCTGAATAGAAGTACTGCTTGCATCTTCAAATGTGTTCAAGATCTTCTGATCAAAGGCTCTCCTGCAGGGCGAGTTGAGAGACTGAAGAGGGTTTGGGAGCCTACATACACGTAAGAAACTTCTAATGATATATTTTACTGAACATATACTACATTTGTGCTCACTACATGTTGTGGAGAGGTCCCAGGTTTGGTCAGTTAGCATTCCATTGAAAACCAACCTGAATTGATTAGTGGAAGACATGTAGCTTACCACAGATTTCACAGAGGTCTCTGGCCTTCTCATCTGAAAACCACTGGCAGGTAAAAGAAGAAGACCATTATATTTTTATTTAAAGATTACAGACTTATCCATGTTTATTTGTTTGGTCCTGTAAGTGTATGAAATATTGGCATGATTTCAGTTATTGTTAATAAGTGTCACTTTTGATTTGTATATTCTTATGCGGTGGTGTATCATTTCTCATTAGAATTCAGTACAGAGAAGCCAAGGAACATGAAGTGATTGAAAGAGAAAATGGTTACACAGCAAAGGTAAATATATTATGATTATGATGTCTTTATAAGTAGAAATAGGTTACACGTTTAAAAAAATTCTTCTGTTGTGGACAATTACACATTAAATTCTTTGTGGGTGTGTGTGTGTGTG